GTCTGTGACTCGGTTCTTATTGTCCGTTAGGCCGAGTGGGCATTAGGCTTAGCAGGGATGACGTCTCCGAGGCAGGTGAGACAATCCAGAGGGGCCGCGGTGCTCAGGTGTGCGGGACAGAGTCCTGCACCTGGGTTGGAGTCCTAATTCGGTGGTTGATGGAGCGGTCACTAGGGCCAAGTCCTGTGATCCTCTGCCTGTCCGTATTTCTCATGTGAATTATGAGTCTCCCTGAGTTAGAAGAGGGCCCGAAAGTGGCCGGGACCAGGTGACAGTGCCCAGGTCAGGGTCACAGTAAAAGTAGATTCAGGGGATCCTGACCTGGAGAGAGAGGAGGAATGAGGCGATCCGTCACGTCTGTGCTGTTAGTGGTTGTGAAACCCAGGATCTCTTTACTCTGGGAGGTGACTTGATTCCCCAACAGATAATTGTGATAACAGTTATATTATATACCTATATATAGGTAGATAATAATACTTTAGTTAACTAAAGGACTCGGATTCATTCAGGTTAGTTATTAACCATATGTGTACATTCATTCATTGATAGTGGTAAATTAAATTTTGTTTTTTCAGTTAAGAAAAATCCATTTTCTCTCTTTTCCCTTTCACCACCATTGCAAACAAAATCCTTATAATAAATATGCATAATCAAGCAAAACAAATCCCCATGTTGTCTATGTCCAAAAAACAGACGTCTCAGTTTTACACCCTATCACCTGTCCATCCGGAGATGGGCAGCATGTTCCATCGTGAGTCCTGTGGAGGCATGCTTGGTCCCGGCATTGATCAGAGTTCTGAAGTCTGAGTTGTTTGTTTTCATAGTGTTGTTGTTCTATGTAAATTGTTCTCCTGGTTCTACTGGCTTCACTCTGACTCAGGCCATACTAGTCTTCTTACTGAAACCATTCCTTTCATCCATTGACGCTGTTTTTACATAGGGTTTTCCATTTTTGCCCACAGTCACGTACTCAGCCAACGCTCATATGTAATAGTAGTAGTAGTAATAATAATAATAATAATAATAGCAGCTAATATTTATATAGTGCTTATTGTGTGCCATGCCCTGTGCTAAGTGCTTTACAATTATTATCTCATTCAGTCCTCACAATACCCTGGGAGGGAGATGTTATTATCATCCTCATTTTACCGATGAGGAAACTGAGGCAAACGGAAGTTAAGTGACTTGCCCAAGGTCATTCAGCTAGTAATTATCTAAAGCTGGGTTTGAACAGAAGTTTTCCTGACTCCAGGTCCAGCTCTTTACCCACTTCACCAACAGGCAAGAGGTAGTAAATGTCTTGAGGTTAGATTTGAACTCCCAGTGCTTAGCACACAGTAGGTACTTAATACATGTTGATTAATTGATTGACTCCAAGCCTAGCACTCTATCTGCTGTGCTACCTAGCTGCTCAGTGTCAGAGGCCAAAAACCAGACATCAGAATGAAAATAATTTTGATAAATTCTATAAAGGTTACCATTCTAAACAAAATGAATGAATGAATAAATCAGCTCAAAGTAAATTCCCTTGATGCTACTTGAATCCAAGATGAAGTTTCTGGTCCCTCAGACTGCTTCTGTTTCCTCTTCCTTCTTCCCTACTCCACATGTGGAAGAGTGTACCTGGCATAGCTTACGCTGCAGCCTTGTGGTAGCTACTGGCCTGCCTTTTGTGGACTTCCCTTCCCTCTCCGAGTCTGAAGGATTTTCTCTGAGAGAGTTAATGCACTTATCTATACTCATCTACCTGGTATCGTGAAGATACAAATGGATGATAAGTGCCTTGCCAAGATAAGGAGTAATATCTACAAATGATAATAAATAGTGATAAATAATAAATGATAATCATGAATAGTCATTGTCATAATAAGATATATGGGCCAGGTTCAAATGCTGCTTATGTATGAGTGGTCTTTAATGTATGTGTTAACATGTGTTGAGCTCAGCCCCGCTGGGTTTTTCTCTTAAGGATGTGGGCAGAGGTGGTGCTTGGGGTGGAAGGGGACTGAGCTGAGCTGTAGTTTGTAATTGACCTTCTTCTGGGCCTGACCTTTGGTGGTTGCCTTGCAGGTAATGAAGACATATCACATGTACAATGCTGACAGCATCAGTGCCCAGAGTAAACTGAAGGAGGCCGAAAAGCAGGAAGAGAAGCAGATTGGCAAATCAGTGAAGCAGGAAGACCGGCAAACACCTCGATCGCCAGACTCCACCGCCAATGTCCGCATTGAAGAGAAGCACGTCCGCAGGAGCTCAGTAAAGAAAATTGAGAAGATGAAGGAGAAGGTGTGTGGTCAGCAGGGCCCAGCAGGGGATCAAGGGGTTGGGGTGCCAGAAGGTGGCCATCAGCCATTTGTTTTCCCATTGGTGGATAATGACCAAACTGGACTCCTTGCTGTTGTGTGCTCCCCTCTGCCCCTCAGCTAAAGTATTCGTTATTTAGCTAGTAATTGTGGAGTCTTTTTCCTGGCCTTGCCCTGATCCTCTTCTGAGCCAGATCCACCACCACCATCTTTGTCACTGTTGAAGCAGTCTTGCAAATATTGACTGGCTCAGGTGAGGTACTTGGTGGGTGAATGGGGAATGTTAAAGCATGGGGTTTTCACTTGCTTTATTCTTCATCCACTAGAAGTGTTTTGAGTCTAATAAACTGGTATCCCTTTGATAAGCTGTCCAAAGATTAGCAAAGCCTTTCCCAGAGTCAGAAGGTAACCACTTTGTTGGGCTTTGATGTCTCCTCCCTGGCCTGCCACAGGGCAACAGGGACTGCTGTCACCCCTCTGACTCCTGCACATACAGCCAGATCTTCTAGCAATCAGATTGATATGCCCAAGGGGTCAGAACACCTGGAGCTTGACTGCTAGGAACATCAGGATGGTAGGGGGTGGAGAAGGACCTTGCTAATTCTTGCAAGGTGGGGGAATTATATTATCAGGTAGAGCCCAAAGGGGGCACGTGTCTGAGATGGGATCCTCATTAACCTTTCTGGAGTGATCTACATTATGCCCTTGAATTTTCATTAAGTAGAATTAGAACCCAATTTAAGGGAGTAGCGCATTGGGAGTAGCAGCTTAATTGTGCCTGCTTCCTGAATGTACTGTTCCTTTCATCTCTCAGAACACACACTCTCCTTTTTTTAAAATAAAATTTTTTTTAAAAGTCTGAACTTCTGTTCTCTTTCTCAGCGCCAAGCCAAGTACACAGAGAATAAGCTGAAGGCCATTAAAGCCCGGAATGAGTACTTGCTGGCTCTGGAGGCGACCAACGCATCTGTCTTCAAGTACTACATCCATGACCTCTCTGACCTCATTGATGTAAGTGTCCAAAGCTGGGGCTCCCCGAAGGTACCTCACTACCATTGGGCAAGACTCACTGGGGCCCCTTCTTTGCCCTTCTGTCCCTCGTAAAAGACAGCAACACATGGGATTAATGAGCAAGCTCTAGAAAGAAAATAATATTGTACCTTGTATTTGGATAGCATGCGCATTCATGCGTGCATGTGTGTGGTGGCACCTTTAAGGGGTACAAAGCATTCTACATATATTATTTCATCTGATCCTCACAACAACTCCACGAGGTCGGTTCTATTATTGTCCCCCTTTACATATGAGGAAACTGAGGCAAACAGAGGTTAAGTGACTTGCCCAGGATCATGCGGTTAGTAAGTCTCAGCATGGGTCAGACTCCCAAGTTGGATGTTGTATTTGCTGCACAGTTTCACTGCATTATCACGGTCAATCCCATCGTATTATTTGATCCTAACATAAAAAAAGAAAAGAGGCAGGCACCTGTTATCCCCATTTTGCAGAGAGGGGAAATTGATCCACAGTGAGGTCCATTGGCTTGCTTGAGCTCACACGGCAAAGTGAGGGACACAGTCCAGGTGTCTGGACCTCTGGTCCCGTGCCCTTCGTCAGGACATTAGGTCATGGCACAGGACAAAAGGATGTGTCACCACATGACTTGGCATGGGGCTGGGCAGGGCATGGGGTGTCCTATGAACATGGCAGACTTGATGGTTTTGGCTCCTTGTGTCGTGAGATGTTTTCTCACAACTTAGCTAGGCAGGAGAGAAAGAAAGCATATCCAGAAAGCAGAGCTTTGGAAAAGGAGGAACTCACTTATTACTGAGACAGGCTGAGCTCCAAATGCAGTCCTCATAAATGCAAAGTCCCTTACCTGGTCAGATCAGGTGCACAATGGAGAGAACGCCAGGCCTGGAGTCAGGAGGACCTGAGTTCAAATCCTGCCTCAGATACTTACCAGCTCTGTGACCCTGGGCAAGTCTGCCTCTATCTGCCTCAATTTCTTCATCTGTAAAATGAGGATAAGATGAGCACGTACCTCCCAGGGTTCCTGTGAAGATCAAATGTTTTGTAAAACTTGTAAAGCATTTAGCATGGTGTCCATCACATAGTAGGTGTCTAATAAATGTTTGTTCTCTTGCCTGGACAGGTCACTTTATTCATTTGGGCCTCGATTTTTTTTTTTTTTTTTAGATTTTTATCTGATTTCCACTTGAGCCTTTATTTTGAGAGTGAAAGGCAAACTAGGTGAGAAAAGAAAAACTGAGGCTTGGTGCTGGGTATGTGGGTGAAAAAGGCAATGATTCACAAGGAGAGAAGCAGAAAGAAAAGGAGTTGAGGGGGGGCGTCTGAGGGTAGCAGGGTCAGAGCAGTCCGGCCCGCCTTCCTTACCCCCACTCCTCCACCAGTCCCTTTAAAGGACTGGGTTTCATTCCCTGCTGGCAATGTGTGGAGTCCTTTGTGCTGTTCAGGCACCTCTTTGTCAGCTGATACCTATCTGAGCGCCATTCTTTCACCAAGGTTAAAACGAAAATCAAGATTCTTCCTCTACCCTCTGGGGAAGCGTGTGCTCAGTGTTAGGAGTGAGGAGTGTTCTCTGCATGAGGGTCAGAATCAATTCTCCTTCTCTCTGCTCTGACATTCCATTACCTAGGCAATACAAAGTCAAACCTGCCCAGCTGATAGCTTGTCCCATTGATTGGTGGGTTTTTGTCTCCTTTTGCCTCTAGGCACACTTCCCCACCAAATTCACAAAACTGGCATGTTGGTTCCTTAAGGCTGAGTACTGAGCAACTGCCGAGGAGCCCCCTCTGGGCCTCTCAAAGGCCTTGGCATCCACAGGCCTTCTCACTGCAGTGAGAAAACACATCTCAACACAGAAGAGATTTCAAAGGCCTTTCCAAGAGCAAACGATTTGGCATCTAATCCTCCTAATCATTTTTTTAAAAAGCATTTATTAAGTGCCTGATTGCACAGGAGGGTTGTTCTGGGTGATGTATGAGAGAATTTTATAAACCTAATATACGCTTCTTCAAAGTTCTCAATTCTAACAGTGCAGAGCATGTTGTATCAGTGATGCTTCCAGTGTGCCCCAGGTCAGGGGCACTTTATAGTAAGCAAGGGGTAAAGGATGCTCTGATTTCCCTGATTGCCTGTTTTTTCCAGTGGGTGAGAGCAGTCTGGTAAAGGTCTTAAGTGGGCCAGTAAAGTCTTAGTGACAAAGCTGAGACAAAGGTGTTTGAATACACTTCTCTTGGCTGTGTATTTATGGGGTGGGTGCCGATGGTTCCGGCATGAGAAAGTGGCTCTGAGGAGGCCAGAAATGCTGCCATCTTAATCCCAACTGCATGGGGAGTGGACTTTGGGACGTGGGACAAGTCACGTTTCTATCCATTGCCATCTGTGACATGCACACTCTCCTACCCACTTTTCCAGGGTGTTGGAGCTTTAAGGGAGTGTGAAGTAGTTATTTTTGTCAGTGCTATGTACATTGCCATGAGACTCCTTCCTCCCCTTCTTATAATACTGTGAAAGATTGAAACCCAGATTGTCAGAATCCACGTGAAGCATCTGACACAGTCAAGGAAATCCTTGATTTCAGGCCAAAAAGACATTCTGAGCTCCCTTAGCAGTGTCTGAAGGCTGTCACCTCACTGGAATGTCATTTCTTCTCCCCCGTGCTCCTGTGGCTCTCCTAAACTCAGCAGATGGATGAATGAAGAACAGGGCATTGTCCCCACATTAATAGCTTGAGTGTTACAAGTAGAACTTGAGAGACTGAGAGTTCTATGGGCCAGAGGCCAACCTAAGGCTGCGAATATGGATTCTTATATGCACAGGCTTCAGTTCATTTTAAAAGACAGTTGAACAAAACTCTGTAAGAAGTTCTTTTGGAGGAATTCTTTTTCTCTTTCCCATAAATTAAAAGCATGCATGATCAAACGCTCATCCCAACCCCCTCACCCCTTAACCCCTCCTGGAGGTTGTAAAAATCTTCCAGTTAACAAAGGGTTAATAAGCTGTCAAGTCACCCATGTGGATGAGCTATCATTAAATTCTTATGAAAAATTGATTTCCCCAGAGAGTGTTTCCATCAAACATTTATATAACCCAGAAAGGGCCAGGGGAGCCTGGCACTCTTATAACCAGAATCATTTGGGCAGTGAAATTCTCAGAAGCCACTGAAACCCTGTTTGCCCCTGGTATAAGGGAAAGATTTTGCTGTCTCTACTTGCCCAACCTCACCTAGGGATGGGGAATGAGATATTTTAACTATTTACCTAACCTTGCCAGAAATTGCTTTTTTCTCCAGGGTTCAGTTTTCAGCCCTTACCTCTAGGAGGCATATGGCAGGCTGGGCTTAGGAACCCTGTTTGCATACCTGTAAATGTGGAAAAGAAGGCTTCCTGTATAGAGAGAGCCTTGTTCTTTAGTAAAAGCAGACATGCATGTCGTCTTTCAAATAAGCACAGACAAGTATTATATCCCCAAGATTTGTTGTTGCTGAGGGTTTTGTTTATTTGTTTTTAGTGAGTAAACTGAATCGCATTTTATAAGAAAAACATATTTCATATACCAACCTGCATGAATTGTTACTCAGCCTATATCCTGTTTCTTAGTCAGTCCATGTTTATTTATAAGGGGAGGAGTCAGAGTTTCTCAAATTAATGCTAATTTTAGTCATAGTAAGTGCTGGGTTCGGAGGCTAAGAACAGTTTGAATTCCAGATCTACTGTTTTTTGAGGGGGAGGTTTGGAGGCAGTCCGGGTTAAGTGACTTGCCCGGGGTCACACAGCTACTAAGTGCCTGAGGCCAGATTTGAATTCCAGTCCTCCTGACTTCCAGGGCTGATGTTCTATCCACTGGACCACCTAACTGTCCCCGTCCTGCTCTACTTCTTATACCTATGGGACCTTAGGAAAATTGCCTAACTTTTCTGGGCCTCAGTTTGTTCATCTATAAAATGAGTATGAGGGGCTTGGGGGACTTGAAGTGGACCAGACTATCTCTGAATTCCTTCCCAGCTCTAAATTGTCTCATCCTAGTCATTAACTGTCTACTATGTGCAAGAAACCTTGGGATAATACAAAGAGGTCAAAGGCCATGGGTCCCTGGCTGTGAGGAACTTACATTCTTGGAGAAGATCCAGTCAAATGAAAATTAATGTTTTAAGACAAGGCCTTACAACATTTATATCATCTTTGGAGATTAGTGAAGTGTTTTTTCTTACAGTCACCCTGTATATAAAGATACTGTAAGTGTTATGATTATCACTACCTTATAGATGAGGAAACTGAGGCTCAAGTGACTTGGCTGTGGTAGCGCCTGGAGTTTTCTTCTGCTGTGCCATGCTCACCCTCAGGCTCTGACAAATTAGTGTTTCAAACAATAAGTTTGAATCATCGGTATCATTTACCTGGATTTTAGCAAAGGATCTGACAAAGTCTTTCATACTGTTCTTGTAGAAAAGATGGGGGACTGTGGGCTAGATGAAAGTCCGGTTAGGTCGATTCGCAAAGAGTAGCCATTAGATAGTTCAGTGTCAGCTTGGAAAGGCCTACAGTAGACTAGCCCAGGGAGGAATGCTTGGCCCTGTGCTGCTTGACATTTTTATTCACAATTTAGATAAAGAATGGTGTCCTAATCAAATTGGCAAGTAACACAAGGCTTAGATGAGAACATTAAACTCAATTTAAAAAGAGGAAATTTAGTAAGGATAAATGTGAAATCTTGTATTTGGAGTAAAAAAAAAATCAAGGTTGCAAATGCAAGATGGCAGAGGTATGTAGAAGCAGCAGTTCATCTGAAAAAGATCCAGGGCTTTCAGTGGACTGCAAGCTCAGTATGAGTCAGCAGTATGAGATCTAGCAGTCCAGAAAGCCAAAGAAGCGTCATGTTCGAGGAGTAAGAAGTTCATGGTTCCAGCATCCTTAGCCCTGGTCAGAACACATCTGGAATATTGAGTTCACTTTGGAGAACTACATTTGAGAAAGGACATTGATAAGTTA